AACTCCCTAAAGTTATTAAATTGTGGAAAACTATGACTATATTATTCTTATTTTAAGCTTCATGCCAATTGACAATTCAGTTATCTTTTTCATGTGCAAATAACAGAGTTAATTGCTTATGCCTCCTAAAAAAATGTAACACAGACTTTCAATTATGGAAGGGCTTGAACTCCAAATAAAATAATAATGAAATCAATAACCATCCCACAAATCCTGTATTCTTAGGTCTCCTCTTTAAATATCTGTATTTTAGGTTATTTCAAAGCGTCTTTATACCATATGTTAACTCACAAAACTCAAGACCCACAGACATTTCTACACCTGATTTTTAAAATCGATTATAAAGGTATACAACACATGGAAAAGCCAAATTTTTCCATTTGCTAGAAAAACATCAAGTTCATTTTCAGAGAAACAGGTATACTAAAGAAAGTTAAAAATAATCCACATCACATATCTAAACAAAAGGGTGTATATTTTAATATACACATAACATTATCAGAGTCAATTACATGCGAAACCTTTCACCTCAGATTCCTAGATAATAATGGACCTGTTTTCCCAATGGAAAGAAAAACAGGTTTGCTCCTGCATCAGGCTTCTGTAACTATGTCAAACCGGATATACTAGGACAACTAGAAAGAGTACCGTCATTGCAACAAGTTTCTAAAAATAAAAATCTTATAGGCAGAGCAAAAGAGAAATGTAGCAAGACTGATTCACTTTTATCTGTACGAAACAAACCAGCATGATCTGATCTTTTGTAAGACCACTTCCTGACACCCACCCAAACACATACTACACCCTAGTCCAAAAAAGGAAAGAGCTGAGTTGGCAGCTGGCATGGCCACGGCATAACCTGATTGAAGGTGTCTGTGATTTAGACAGGCCACAGTTTCCTTGTTTATTACAGGAAGTGTAAACTGTATCGATGCAATCAACAGTGGGCATTTCACATCCAGATGTGTTTGCCTCCCCCCCCCCTGGTCTTAAACTTAATGAATTTTATTCATCAAAATTAGAGAGCAAAGGTAGCCAAGCCAGAGATAAATGCCTGAGCCAGGGATCACAAGTCCCCGGAGCTGTAAAGAGCCCAGGCCTGCCCTGGGAAGCAGTGGAGATCCCACCCACCCCCCTTTTCTCTATCGGAGTCCAGCACAACTCAGTGAACACAAGCCCTTTATGTATGTACTTCCCCGAACAAAATCCACCGACTGCTCAGCCCTCGCTGGGGTGTTCTCCGGCGTGACCCCGCTCCAGCCCCTTCCACAGCACAGACCCGGCTCCACCTTAAGCGCCCCCCCCCCATTAGGTTTTCTAGGCACCGCTACCTGCGTTACCTACACTGAGGCTTCCCCAAGCTGGAAACGAATTAGCGCGGGGAAACCGAATCAAAGAACAGCCCCCGCGCCCCAGAGATGCTCCTCTCACCCCGTCCCCCCAGCAGGCATGCTGCATGCTCCGCCCTCCCCGCTCGGCTACCATCGTGCTGGCCATCCCACTGCCCCCCTAACTGTGCAGGGTGGATGCCGCTGCCGCCGCACACCTGCCCCGCTCCCCGTGCCATGCAGCACCCTCCTCCCGGTGCCGTCCCCCTCCTTGCCTGGGTCTTGTCAAACTGCTCCCGCTCCGCCTCCAGGCTGTGCCCGGGCCGGCGGCTCAGCACGCGGGCCGGCACGTTCTTGATGGTGTTCATGCTGCTGGCAGGGGAGCCCGCTGGGCGGCCGGGAGAAGCGGCGGCTCGCTCCGCTAAGGGCTGAGGCGCGGAACCTTCTGCTCCTGCAGCCGCGGCGGCCCGACCCTCAGCCTAGCAACTGCTCGCATCCTGGCGAGAACCCAGCCAGGGAGCGCAAGGGCGCCCCCAGCGGGCGGTCCGGGCCACTGCTGAGGGCAGGAGCATCCACTCACAGGCGAGGGAATCCTCCCCTCCCAGCTCCCGGCCAGCCACTCACAACCAGCAGCTGCTGCCGCTCCTCCCCAGCAAAGCATTGTCTCTCTTCTCTCCCTCCACCCACTGCAGCCTCTAGTCTAGTCTAGATTCTAGAATGACAGTAACAGGCGGGGTCTGAAATGAAGCATCTTTCTCTGCCCAACGCAAGGTAATGGAAGACCCTGAAATGATACCAACGGCAAAAGGCTGAGGGGAAATCAATACCTGTTCACAAGATAGGATTGTTCGTATTTAATTACTTCTCTTCCCCCGTAGTGTAAAACACAGAGTTCCTAGGGAGACTGCAGTAACTATTCTGATTTCTTTAGAGTGAATTATGCAATGAGGCCCAAATCCTGATCTACTTTAAATCAATGACAAACCTCCTTGACTTCAATATAAGCAGGATTTGGGTCAGGAAGCAGGTTTCTAAACATTTAGCACTCCACCCTCAGTTGTATTCACTCATGTCAAATGGTTATGAAAACATAAGATAAGCCTTAGTACTCCAACCCTGCCTTAGTCCATAGTACTCCCTGTTTATAGTAAAGCCCCTGGTGTCTCTAGTTATGTAACTCAAAAATAGCTAAAGTGATTTTATAAATACAATAGAATCCTCTTACTTGGAGCATACTGATGGACAGCTTACCACACTGATTACACCAAGAGATCATTTTAAGTCTGAAGGCTTTAACAAAATGTTGTAATGAATAAAAGTATATATGGTGCATTTCAACTTTGACACTTGTGCACAGAAGCCTGTCTACCACCAAACAGTACCTGAATCACCAACTGAACAATTAATGGCAAATGCAGACAAAGAACATCTTGACCATTCCGTTGTTTGTCCACCGAGTAAGATGAGGGCCACACTAGAAAAGCTTAAGCCACTACTGTTTGATTTCAAACCTATCAAATTCTTTAGCTACTTTTGTACTTGTCCTTGTCTCTATATAAAAAGGTACTAAATCACTTTTGTATAGCATAGTAATGTATCATAGAACCGGTGTTTTGGTAAAAACCAAAATACCTTTACAGGCACACCTGTATAGATGATGTTCTTTAACTGGATTTTTTCATTCTTTTTGAAAAATGTAAATCCTGCTGTACTATTCATTTGGATGTCATTTAGGATTCTTTGATGGTGTAAGCACCTACATAAACAATATAATTTATATTACTGTAGCATATAGAGCATGCAATCAGTGATCAAGGCCCCATTGTGATAGGCAGTGTACAAAACATGTCATAAGAGAGAGTCCCTCTGCTAAAGAGTTTGATTAAAGACAACATGTAACAGGTATGTGAGGCAAACAAAAGGGTAATAGTGTGGGATTGGGAGAATGAGATACCAACAAACATTTTCATGTAGACTAGATGTACTCTAATACAGCTTACAACTGGTCTTAACTGGCAATGTTTCACAGGCAGCACAGCTGAAGTGAGTTAAAAGAGGGATCTTTCTTATTCTTTTGTTTCAATAGAAGTTCATTATCTCTAAGACATTGATTTTTTCTGCAACAGACTAGTTCATTTAAGTCTGTAAGTGAGCTATAATAGAAAAATTGCTGAGTAAATTAACTGAATATATTAAGCTATTAGAACAAAATATTTGAGTTGGAATGATCCTATACATGTTTTCTCATAAGATTGGTCACCAAAACTAAATGCATACAGGGGAAAGAAAAAAAAATCTTTGAAACCATGAGCTGTTATTAGTTCAAGAATAGTGTAGTTATGTGTTGTAAGATATTTGAATATAGACATCTAAATACCAGCTTTCTTTAGGAGTTGAGATACTTTACCTTCAGGGCTTTAGCAGCATTTGCCCTAATAAACTGGAACTCTGCAAATCTGTTAAGGGAAAAGGAAAATATTTGAGACAATTATGTTAATTTTTCTGTCTGTACTGTGTAATTGTCAACTCTCTCCAGTTTTTCTATTTGATGAAGCTTTCCTGAATCAAGGGGTGTTTGTTTTGTTTTTAAAATCAAGCTCGTTTCTCCAAACAAAATGACAGTAATGGAAAATGTACAAATTAGTTTTTAAAAGCTACAGAATCTCATTGCTATCTTCTTCTGTTTCTCAGACCTCTAATTAGAAAAGCCAAGTAGCTGGAAACACCTACACCTTACTGAAAGCAGTTAAATAAAAGTCTAATTTCCTTTAAGAACAGTACATGTTTCCAAAAGGTTCCTATTCTTAGGTAGTTGATTTAGTTTGAAACTCCATAGAAAGCCTCAGAGCATAATCTGTTTGTTTTGCAGGTGTGTTAATGCAGGAATAAATTCACCCAAGTATTCCACCTCTCTTTCAGTTTGAAAGTTGCAATCTTCCAGATCATCTTATGCCTAGAGAAAACCATATTCAGAACAAGATTAAGATATAGTGGTGTGTGTGAGTATGCCAGACATGAATTCAAACAAATACAGCAGCACTAATAAAGCATGCATAATATGACCATGATACTAACTCTTAGCGCTTGCCTACACACAGTTTTTGCACCTTAACTAAAAATCAGTTTTATGTATTGATTAAAAGAAATTGGTACAACCCCTCTGGTATGAACACATGTACAAGTTTCAAAGAGTTTATATTATTTAGCTTGTGTTGGTTAGAGATGAATATTTTTAAACTGATAAGTGCATCCACAGTAGGAGGTTGCATGTATTTGATCTAAGTAGTTTTTTTAAATGTATCAATTTAGTTAAATTGGTGCAAAGACGGAGAATAGACCAGGCCTTAGTGCTAGCATCATGAACTTACCATGTATGCTTTTTACTCTGCTGTACTCCACTGCTCCACTTAACAGTAGTCCCTGAGAATATTAACGGCAGTGCTCATTAGCAGATAGGGAATTTGAGTGTCAGCTGCTTAAAAAATTACTTTGAAAGTTTGTTTTAAACTAGTTCTTGTCATGCGAATCTCAGAGCAGGGATCCTTCCCTCCCACCAGTGCCACAGAGTGAGCCAGGGTTTATGCATGATAGAGCTGTGATGCTAGATTTGAGACCTAGTACATTCATGGTCAATAACTGGTTAAATGTCAAAACTAAGATGCAAGGAAGAGATTAAGAAGTGAAAAAATGGTATTTATTAGGTTGTATGGCCTTTTTTTTTGGTTAAAAATATTTTCAAATGCAATAATGAGTCGTTTCTACTTTTCTGATGGTCACAGATACACAAGGCATAGTTAAAATATTTAAAAAGACTACACATTAAATCCATGTCATATACTGCTAAAAACATCCATATCAACGCATGATCTTATAAGAGCTTGTGTTAGAATAAATAGCTCATGACTGGGGAAGAGTTATTTTGCCCATCTTGTGGGTGAAGGGTTTTGTAAATTTCAGCAATGTAGGAGGTATACCCTGGTTACTTCACTAATTAGCAGCTTCTTATAAACATTATTCATATCTATTTACATGGCAAAATGTCCAGAACTATAACAATGGACAAACAGGAGTTAACACTTTGCTGTTATACATTGTAAATACCAAATATGCACAACTATGGCAGTAGTAATAAAAACAGTTCTATATTTAAAAAAATATGTCACCTTTATGGAGTAAACAATTACGCATTTTATATTCTTACTTTAAAAACAAACTAGCATTTAACCTGAGTACTGATCTATAAAAAAAGCAGTTTTTCATCTTAGCATAATTCTAAGTTATTATTCACAAATATAGAATACATTCCAGCATACAGTCACATCTTTTTGGCACTTGCAAAATTTTCAAACATTCATGAGAGGTATGACCAAATAACTGTTCATTTAGTTAGTTAGTAACTGTTCATTGTAGCTTATATGTGGTAATGATATTAATTAAAATACATTTTGAAAACTGAAGGACATCTTCTTTGTTCTTGCCAGATAGTAAGGATGTCATCTTTGTTTCTTCCAGATAACATCCAAGGAATCTGGTTAAAGGAGGGGGCGGGGAAGGGGAAGGGAAGAGAACTCAGTTAAAAACATATTGAAAAGTTACTACTACTACTATTACCAATAGTACAAATTTAAAACTACAACACTGAATTGTTTCTCATGGCATAAGACATAGAAATACCAGTAAAGACATGAGATGTCAAGAGGGAAAAAACGTTATTTTATAGAGTGAAGTGCATATCAGCAGTCTCCCTCAGGGACGACTGGAGGGTCACTACATACATTCTTTTCATTTCTGTGTAAACGTTTAACAGGTCTGCAATTCTCATTGCACAAGGCCTACTCCTTTTTGCCCTGTGTAATCCCGAGAGTCAGGATTTACAAGCAATGGTGCATGCCATAGCTACCAAGAGCTTAACATATCATTTTTCTCATTGCTGTCACCTGTTTTAGGGCTTTAGACTCCCTCCAAATGATTCTCTTTCCCAGAGGAAAAATGACAGACTGATGAAGCCCAAGATCGCCAAAGCTTTGGCAATTAAATAGGAAATTAAGACAGAGCACCTTCCAGCTGAGGATTTCAAAGCAGTTAACATTCATTGATTATGCCTCTAAATAAAAATGTACAAACATAACTTTAATGTATTTCTGGTCCGCTATAAACTTTGTGATGATTATTTTAGATTCAGTTATATCAATTTTTAAGGGAGTTTAAACAGTGTCTAGGAGTATTGGTTAAGGATTTGCAGTGAGTGATTGTGGACAAGTTCCTTTCTTCAGTACTCTCTTGGCTGAAGTAAATTAGATCACCCACATGCTTAAAGTTAAACAGGTTCTTGGTGCTTTGCTCAGGCTGCTCACCATTTTGCAGTGCATTGCCTCTTGAGCAGATCACATCGGCACTCAGTGCCAGACTGGTTTCCAGATGCAAGTCAGGCTGTTGGTATTGACAAAGCCCATAATGGCTTAAATTCTATACATCTTTGGCTGCATCTATAATGGGCTTTTTTTAAATTGAACATTTTTCCCTATGTTACTAACTCTGGTTCATATCCCAGGCAGCATTTAACCATGTCATCTCACCCAGCTCAGGATAGATCTAGACAACATAGTGCTTAAATTGCCGGCTGCAAGTCCCTTGTCTACACTAGTACTCCAATTGGTGGTGCTGGACTGGTGGTAGCAAACGGTGGGATATAGTTTTTTTTTTAGGGGGGGGAAGAGAGAAGACAGACCAAAAACAACAAAACTATCATAGATTTCACGTTAGAGTCAGTCTTATTTCCCTGAGGCTTGAGGTCAGCACCATATGACCATCTCTAGATTTCCAGTTCTGGGATCTGGGGACAGAGCATTCTCAATAATGGACCCTGACTCCAGAATTCACTCCCCACTTCTTTGGTCCAGTAATGCCTCAGGCCTTCATCCTGCAATCTGTTGCACATGGAAAGAATTGCTATGCCCTCCCAGAGATTAACTAGTTTCAATGGGGCTCTGTGCAGCACAGACCATCACCCACATGGAATGAATTGCAGGATCAGGGCTTGAGTTGCAAGGCCTAACTGCCCAGGATTTTTCAGAGGGAGAAGTCTGAGGAGTTACTGGCTGCATTAGCTAACATCCATTTGCTGCTCTGTGTCTCATGTATATGGGTTTTATTGTAGTAGCACTTAGAGCTTTGTACTGGGCCCAAAAAAAAAAATACATACATATTATTGCTGCATTTGTAAACATTACAAAATAAAAAAATAGAAGAAAAAAACAGACTTACTCAAGATCATAAAGGAAACAGTGAAAGTTTTGTCTCACTTTCTTCCATAGCTGGCAGTTGCACTTTGCAAAGAGCTTCTGTAAGTTCTGTTGTCTGTAATATAAAGTAATAGATTAAGTACAGACTTAACTTCATAGTGGATCATAAAAATTGACACAGCTGCAGAGTTCAAAACTGGAGAAAAGTAATTATGTGCTCTTCAACTCATCTCATTCTTTCCCACCTTTTTCTTTTCACCCGAGAAGTAGGGTATATGACATACGCATTTATCTGCCCTAATTGAGCAATCTACCTAATACAGTGCTATTTTGTAGAGAATCTTTCATGCAAAAAACAATACAATGATGATGTAAAAATAAAATTGTAGCAGGAGTGTGAAATTAATAGGTATAGGCTAGGGAGAAAAATAATTTTGAGATGAGATTTGAAATGTGATGATGAGTACGTAAGGCAAAGAGGTAGAAGAAGAGCTTCATTTACACCTAGAATAATGAATTATAATGATTGAGATTTTATTTGTAACTGTCCCCCCCGCTGACAGCAGAAAATAACTAAAAATAAGAGAACATAACCCAGCAGGGACAAAAGCTTACACCTGCCAAAGGCTTATGTTGGATCCTTTAAAATCATGCCTTAATTGGTATAAGGCCCAAATTTAAAAACAGCCTCAGTGAACTCTGTTTCAAGACAGGTTAGTTGGCCAGCGTAGATTAGGATAAACCCTGTTAAATATAGTTTTTAAAAACTATTTTGAAACTAGATCAAAAGTTTTAAATCTTCAGGTTTGAAGACAGCTCATGCAACAAGTTTAATATGTCAATATTCTGTGTACAGAATCTTCCTAATAGGGCACACTGATAAGATCATCTTCTGTGATAACTGCATACAGATTATATTCATGCATTTCCATTGTGACTTAATACATTATCTTTAATCTTGCAATGAAAATTAAAGAAATTAACCTGTTAAAAAATGAGTATTTATGCGGTCTGATTTATGCCTGTACCAGAACAGATCATATATACCACACATTAATCGCCGATATCACCTTCCTCCCCAAAAATGATACCAAGCATAAGAAGATAAGGATGAGTTAAGATCAGAATTATGTTCATTATCTGCTGTTCTGCCACAAGTTGCTCCAAAACAACTTCTTCCTTCCCTGCGTTTAGAAACATAAGCCAAATTCTGTCCTGATCATATGAAGACTGAGGGGTGCAAGATTGAGCCAAATTTGGCTCAGACACTATCAAATATCCAATCATTTTCCTCATCAGTAAAGTGTTAAGAGTACTTTGTCTAGATCATAGTTCAAGCCAAGCAAAAGGAAAAGAATGTTCAGAATAACTCTTTCCAACATTCTAAATCTAGCCATATTCAAGTGATAAATACCATATTAACACTGCTGCTGTCGGAACTGCAACAGGGGCTAATGTGGAGCAGCGTGCTAAGCTCCAGATCAGCAACCATCTGTCGAGACTCAGCCAGCAAACGCTGGAGCTTACTTGTTGGTGAACAGGAGTCCTAGAAGAAACAGAAATTGAACCAAAGTTATTAAATGATAATTTTAAAACATGTTCACTGGTTGCAAATGTGAATTATCACTGGGCATTATTTAATAAAAAAACAAAAACTAACTTTGAAATACAGTGTACCATACAATGCCATTGCAGAATCTGCAATTGTTACAAATGTAAATGCTAATATTTCCATTGAAAGGTCTGTGCAGGATAACAGGTTTCATATAGCTATGCATACACACACACACCCCATTACTGTTAAAGACAGTGCCAATGAGGAGACAAAAAAACCAACTAGTGTTTCAAATAGATGAAGAGGCAGCAAATTTCTTACTAGTTTCAATAAAGCAACTTGTCCTGGCAGCTGCTGAAAGGAGAGTCAGCTGGTGGTAACTGAAAATTTGATCCTCCCCATTTCTATACTTATAAACAAGCAGCATATCTCCATGTTTAGAGAGGCATGCTTAATTCTTAGACCTAGATCCTAATCCTAGGCCTATTAGGTCTTCAGTTACCCTAAACGACACCTCACAAAGTGCCGTGCTGGGTTATTGCTCATTTTCCTCACACAATGGGGTTCCCACAGACCCAAATGATACGGAAATAGAATGGTGGGTTGATGCCCAATATGTAAAGAATGGGAATTTGGGGATATACCAGATCTGAGAGGGACCAGGAGACAACTCATGCCTGCCCCAACAGTTTTAAATGACTGATTTGAAGTCTCCCATGTGGGAATGGTGAACTAACCTCCTGCTCCTAGGACCAAGCTTGAGTTGCAATCCTTATCAGATGGACAGAACAAAGCCCACAAAAGGTGCAAATAGAAATCTACTCACCATTGCCTGCAGTCTATAAATAAATCCAACCCGCACAACCCAAAAAGCAAACAGACTGGCAACACTTGGAATCAAGACAGTGCAAAAGCAGATTATAACCACGCAACAGCAATATTGTAATGACTAAGAAGAATACGACTAGAGAGATGGGAGGGAGGGAAGAAGTTTCCGGTCAGCAAGCAGAACAAAGGAACAACCTCTAATAGTAGCACCCACTCAATCTCAGATCCCAAAGTTTACTGGGATTGACTAATGGTGACTAGCGCTTTGCAAGCATGCTTGCTATTACCTGGTCCCTGATGCAAAGGGGAGACCCTCTGGCTTTGCCCCTTATGCTGGCACCATCAATAAAGCCAGCATAATTTTCCCTGCAGCATTTGCAGCCTAAATACTGCAACATCATGCTAACTCATGGTGGGAAACTGGAAGTGAAATTATTATTTTAATTGACTAAGCAGAACCAAATATTTTTAAAAGGCATAGACATGACAAGCGAGACTTTTAAAGTGATTCCAGTTTTAATAATCTATAACTCAGTGTAAAACAAACAAACAAAAACAAAAAGGTTTTTTCTACATGATTTGTGACTTGACAATACTCTTTAAAACCCTTTCTAAAAGTCTAATTTACTTCAGAGATAAAAAGGAGAAAGAATAAAAGCCAGACAAACCCACTCTTTTGTGAAAGTAAATTCACTCTTAGCCATTCTAAAACTAATGTACCACGTTATGAAGCTAGATACTGACTGTAGGACTGGTGCACTTATTTGCTGACTGAATCACTGATAAGTTACTGATCTCTGAAGGGAGGTCTGCATCGAAGAATCTCTCACATTTCTGGGGCCCATCTCTCTTCTGTGTGGACGTCAAACAGGGAGAGTCCAAGTAAAAGGAATTCAGATCCACATGTTCTTCACTGTCAATAAAATTAAGATATTTCCTGAAACAATATCATCAGTAAAATCACTAAGAAAAGTCATAACGCAACATAAATATACTTAGGCCTTGATCCAGCAAAGCCGTCAATACATGTATACCTAAGTCAATGACATTACTCTCAAAGTTATTCACATGCTTAAGTGCTTTGATGGATCCAGCCTTATTTTCTGAGTACAAGAGAGGAATCCTGAAATACTTCCATGAAGCAGCTTAGCATGTTTTCCTTAAATGACAGCACAAAAAAAAATATCAAGGTACCTCTCAAACTATCTAAATGAAAGCAGCACCCCATGCTTTCATTTTCTGCCTCCACCTATTCCCTTATTAAAAACCTCCTTTAAACAAGTCTAAAAATGTAGCTTTAAAATATTAAAGTGAAAATTTTAAGAGTTTAAAAAGTTATTTCCCCACTTTGGATATCACTGTCAGCTTCCTCCCACCCTTGACTACACTGGGGTTTTTTGGTGATTGTGGGTAGAGGGGACCGAATTTAAATACAATTTATGAGAAATTGTAACTACAGCTAACACTCAACTGCCTGGATAGGGTTTCAGAGCATGAAGCTAAAGGTGTATTGTTTCAGCTCTGTCAGGAGGTAAACATCAGGCAGTGTAGACTCAGGCCTGACCTTTGGACACACCCGCAACAGCATGCAAGACCTTTTCAGCCTAGAACTTCACATGCAGCATCATCTCTTTACACTTTCAGCTTTTCTCCGCTGAACTTTAGACCATCACTTATTAGAAAAGGTAGTATACTAAGAAGAGAGAAAATTCCAAAGTTGATATCACTAATATTTTATATGTATGTAAAGCTTTTTTATGCCAGAGGACTTCAACCTATACAAAATTCCACATACAAAAAAAAAAATTTAAATGTAGGATTCAGGTTGCTCGAGTATATTTCTTCACACCACCACATATTAAAAAAGCAAATTAAATTATAAGTTAAGGCAATAGTTACACCCAACACAATACCAGTGTCCAAGCACTGACCCGCTACTATCAGGATACTCAACCATAGCACCACAAAGTCCTCTCTAGCACACTTACTTTCAGTTCAACACTAGGATCTCCCACAATGTGCGCATCAAGGAACTGAACGTTACACATATACTTTCTTTTCTTTCTCTAATAAAAAATAATTTTATTTTCTACCCTTGATAAGAATATTGCTCAAGGATAGGGGGAAACTACCGTACTTCAAGATGACAAAACATATTGTCACAATACACCACATGAAATGTATGCAAACTTCTGACTGCTCTGTAGTTTAGCCAGCCAGTTACTAATTAAAGTTTTACAAAAAATAATAAAAACCTTGAGCCAACCAGAAATCAATCCATTCCCACAGAGCAGCCCAGGAAACGCACTGTACTAGCACTAACTAGATGTTAGAGATACTGAACTGGGACAGTTACTAGAAAGCCAGCAAGTTGCAATGATTCTAAACAATAAATAAGATCACCTGCATCCTGTGGTCTGCTTACACAGAATGTCTAGTGTAGTCTGCAGCTTATTCACAGTTGTTTACATGTGGGCTCAGGGATTTATTAGTAGTTTCTAGCTGTGCAAGGATCGGTTTATTTTCAGCTGCTAAATGAATCAATTTCACTTTAATGGAGCTTTTTAAATGTTGTGTATTATTCTTATTTTAAAAAGTTAAAAATTAAGAAGTGACCATCCCTCAGCATGTTTTCCTGTGATCCTCTCTAATAAGCAAAAGCACCTTTTTGGACACATTTCTGCATCTACAGGGAATTACCAAATAGCAGCATGCATTTTTATATGTAACCTGACATTCATTAACCACCACTCTTTACAGGGCCAATACAGACAGTCCCTAACCCAAAGAATTTACGATCTAAGAAAGATGCTTTGGAAGACCCAAAGGAACATGTTATCTCAGAACAGTTTTGTTTAATTTTAGTTACCTGCTTATAAAATGGTGCAGCCCAGAGTGCATTTGACTGACATGCACCAACGTTTGTGAGCCTTTTAGAAGAAGGAACTCTTTAGGAGGGATATGAATGAGAAGTTGAGGGCCTGCCACTCTTGGTTTAGGAGGTCATTCCACACTGTGATCCAGCTTTGAAGAAGACAGGGTGGGGAATGGGAAAAGGAAATGAACAGGCTTGAATTTGGCATGCGTGGTTTGGTTCAAGATACAAATGGGCCTTGTTTAAACCAAAATAGAGCACAGGCCAGCAATAGTACAGCGAGCAACCAGTCTCGTGCTCTAACTTCAAAAATATAACCTGCATTCACGTCCCTTAGACAAAATGCAGCAACTGCTGGTACAACAGAAATAAAGTCACTGTAGTATAGAAAATAGAGATTACTCCATCAGAATCACATTTCACAATCTCTCATGATAAAATATGGCAGTTCATTAGCTGAGTTAAGATCTCTCTTGCCAGTTATTACAAAAACTGCAATGACTCATGCCAAAATGTCAGATGGACTGACAAGGGAAGCACCCTCCTTTGCCGACTGAGTACCCAATTAAGCTATCACCAAGAGACTACAGAAACAAGAGGCAAGCCCTGGATAAGAGTGCAAACCCTAGCAAAGGCCCCAAGCAACAGTAAATTCACAGTGAGCAGGTTTGTGGTGGCAAAAGGTACCTTCAACCTCCCCTCATCCAAGGGGCAAATAAGCATTCAGTGCAGATTCCAAAAGTGGATAGCACTGGCTGGGAAATGGAGGTGGCCAGGACAGCACATCTTCCATCTGTTGGGCTCCTATGAAGAAAAATCCTCAGGGGAGGGCAACAGTAGAAGCACCACCTGCACCCCACGGGGCAAAGCCCATGGTAGGTAGAGTGGCATTCACTGGCAGAAGGAAATGACATCTGCTCTTCCCTGCACTACCAAGGTTGAATCTGTTCAAGTGTGACTTTTCAGGGGCAGAGGCAAAGGGATTAAGTTAAGTTTGTAACTCTACTTCTCAACCAGGAATTCACTGGAATGGGAGTGTAGTGGTTCCTAGGAAAGGGTGCAAGGTTTTTGGTTTTGGGGTGGGTGGGAAGGAGGAGGTAGAAGAAAGGGGACTAGAGGGGGAGAGAGATGATTTAGGAACAGTACGAAGTAACTTTAACCAAATAAAAAAAAGCTGGTTTACAAATGCAAAAACTAAGCTATGTGGGAATGCCCCAGAAAAGCATTCCATTCCAAACGGATGCCTATTCATCAACCTTTTGTCCCTGAAGTGGAATGGACCTATACAACGTTTGTTGGGTTGTTTTAAACAAACAAGAAAGAGTCAGTACCTTAGACATGCCCCTATATAAAGTTCATACAATTGGATGTTGGAATATATTCTCTGGGCAAGATCCTCAACTAGTGTAAATCAGTGTAAATCTATTGCAGTGACTTGTGCTAGCTGATTTATACCAGCTGAAGAGATGGGCCTCTTCTGTGTCTTGTGGAGAGCTAAGTGGGAATAGGGAGGAATTCTTTGTAAAGTGATCCAGAGGATTAAGTCCTTGTACAATAATGTTGACAACAACTGAAAAAAAATTAGGCAATCTGAGGAGGGAAACTGAAGGGAAGTGCTCCTCAGTGAACAGCTGCTGTCATGGTATATCCATCAGAATAGTTAGAGCTTTGAATTTCCTTGCCTATTGTCAGCATAACACTATGTACATAAATGTTTCCTTAGAGGGCTCCCCAAGCCTGCAAAAATATACCAGTATTTCTTTAAAACTTCTCAATATTCAGAAATTCATTCTCCATCCCACTGGCCTCTGACTACATCTCAATTTTTTCTAATACGACACAGGGATCTAAAGCTCAATAAATGTGTCAGACAACTAAGATTATTGTGGGATCACCACCATATTAAGCTATGGGTTTGGTTTATTATTAAACTTACAAGTTATTTCATTTTCTTTCCTTAACTAAGGTGACTTAATTTGAAGCAGAAGATGTAAAAAAAAAAAGGCATGGATTTTACATCCTTTTCCAGACACTTATTGAGTTGCCAAATGAGATAAAAAAGGGCAATAAAAACTTCACACAGCGACTAGATTTTATATCTGCCTTAAAAGGCACCATCTTAAAAAGAATCTCATGTGTGAAGATTTTGTTTAGGTAACACTATAACCAAACGTGGTGGTTTTTTTTATAAACAAAAAATAAAATTAAAAGAAAAAAAATCCATTCTTCCCCCTTAATTTGATATTTTGTGCATTTGACAGCACATTGTGTAGTCAATTTCAGAGCTTCCCTTGTTTGTCTGGGTCTTTCACACAACCGGAGAACACAAAAAATTTATAAAAACAGGAAAATGGGATACTTCAAACTACGTAATTTCTTTTAAATTTACTAAGTTTCAAGTTGCTAGTCTTCCTTTAAAACTTAATATGGGATTATTTTAAATCTTGTACAGGTTAAATAAAAGTTGTCGAGAGGTAGTCCAGTTTTCTACTTAATTACAGCTGTATCTATATATTTGGGTTTTCAAATGTAACAAATACATAACCTTTTTAAGCTGGTACTTTTTATTCCATGTGCAGTCTTGGGACAGTTGCAAACTGCTCTGCACCACACATTTCCATCTCCTTCTATGGGTCTGAAAATCTGCATCCATTCCAGATCTGTTACTGGCTTATAACATGCAGCTTTATCTATGATGGAGTTAAGAGTACAGAAGCCAGATTCATCTATGGGAAATGTACCAGGAGACGCTCTGCTTTTTCGGTCACATAAAATTCCCACTGTCTCTGTCTGATCATTACATTCAACATCAGTTCTGTCAGACGGCTTTGACCCAGGACGCCAGCAATTCAACGAATCTAAATGAGGACTGAAGTTGAGCCAATGCTCGTGTATAGGTAAAGATGCTCCAAAGTTTTGTTGGTCTCTGCTTAGAAATACATCTTGTGAAGTTTGCGATGTTGTTTCCCTGCCTTCCACAGACCTCATACTGTTTCTATCAGATACAGTTCTCCTGTCTAGTTCATTGGTGCTTACCGAAGCATTCTGCTTTTCATCTTCCATAAACAAAGTCTTTTGTCCACGTGATAAGCCTTTAAAGATTTTCTGAAGCCGATTTAAGTGAGCCGAGGTACTTTCCTCCATGTCTGACACATTAATTAGCTGGCTATTCTCTGCTTCACACACATTACAGATTTTTTTTAGACTGCATTTCTGAGTTTGCGTAGTCCCATATTCCTTAGGTATCTTCTGAGTGCCTTCACTGCTAACTGTGTCTTTTTCGTTGCTACTTTCAAGGTCTGATAATACCAAACCTATGCTACAATGGCATGATAAAGAACGCTAGTTATAAATATTGCATTTAATATGTGAATTGTATTTGGTATAAACCACACTTTGTAGGATTGTGGCTTCATCCTGTGCTAGATGTGCGATACACAGGCAAGGGTCTGTGCCTACACAGAACCCCACTGTCAGGGCTGTCAATCCATGCATTGTACACTGCAGGATCAGGCACAGAGTCTTTTTATATTTTACCCATATTATACACCGTAGAAATTCTACTTGAAACTATAAATTGTGCTCTGATTTTCCAGACTGAAAACAAAAGCCATTTGAATTTTAAAAAATTAGACATTATATTAATTGGCCAGTTTTATGCTGCTCCATATCTCCATACTGCTCTTTAGCAGTTTCACAAAAGAGAGAGGAATGGACACCAATGTATCAGAGTCTCAGGATTGAATTCATCCTGGGAAACAAGGAAAGTTTCATCTAGGACAGTGGTTATCAACATTTTTTCATCTGTGGACCCCTGAAAAAAAAAATTCAGATGAAGGTACAGACCCCTTTGGAAATCAGACAATCTGCAGATCCCCATGAATCTGCGGACCACAGGTTGAGAACCACTGTGGACATTAAATATATAAATAAAAAAATAAAGGTGAGAGAAAATATAAGCTTTATAATGTACAAACAACAGGCATTAGGAATAAAAGTCATTTGGTGAAAAAAAAAGTGAATTCTACACTGCTTTTGAGGAAAAGCATGCAGCTAAAAGTACGTGGCTAAGAGTACTGTAAGGTACATCCACTAGAAGAATACTCTAACGTGCTTCCAGCTACTTTTCTGAAGACACTAACTTAATCTTGACTAATTTAAAAAAAAAAAAAAAAAAAAACAACGCCGAAGAAGCCCCAGAAGCCTGACAGGCACTTAACATAATCTGAAACACTAGTATGGATCAAATTCATTAAATAAATATGTTACAAGGTAGAATGATTAAGAGGGCATAAAGAGATGGTAAAAATGACTATTATTCACTATACTATGGCTTATTTTACTGGAAACCTTTATGACTAGATTTGTTACGTTTAGTCTAATAGTTTATGTAATCTGATTTTATAAGCTTTTATTTCTTACACAGTAGTAGTGGTCTGACTCAGAGCTTATGCTCTAGTCTGTGACTAACATACACTATGTCTCTTGACCACATAATGGAAAACTACATGAGAACAGTATTGTGGCTCACAGGCCAGAGGTGTCATTTTAACATATAAAAAAAGTGTTGAAGTATTATATATTATTTTTTAGAATACTAAATGTGTCATACATGATCAATTCTCTCCTTAAATAATTATGAAAGCCACATCACCAAGCTTACTTTGTTTTGTGTGCCTCCCCCTTGTGTTTCTGCCATAATTCTTGAGAACTCTCCAAGTTGAAATGAAGAAATTGCAGATCCTGCTGCTGTTTTACATAGATCTACTTCCAGACAGTGATAAAACAGTTAGTGAAACGCTGAAGTACAAGGAATATTATGCCATCTACATTAATATATTGCTTTTCATCTCAAAAGATCTCCGGGGCATTTTACAAACCAACACTGATATTCAAACAAAAAACGTGCCTGATCCTGCATTTCCAATGGGAGTTGGGGGTAAATGGGAATGTAAGATTTGGCTCTACCTAGGAATTACTTTAAACCCTATTAAAAATAGCAGCCATCCCTGATTGGGGGTTTAAAACGCACACACACACACACACACACGCTGCTTAGCAAAATATGACAATACCACAAAACATTGTAAGGCAAGAAGTACATAACATGATATTCAATACATACTCAGTGGAAATTGTATAGACCGAATAAAAGTTACCAGCATTGAAGTATGATCAACACACACACACAGGGACTAAACGCTGCTACACTAACAAAAAGTGCCATGGAATCTTTAAAATGATCACAAGTCATCAGGATACTGGCTTTAACTCTCTTCTGGAAAAGGACAGCACGTCTAGCAACACAGTGCCCCTTAATACCAAGTGACTTCACTTCAGTCATAAAGGATCTGATTTTCCAAGGTGTGGAACACTCACAGCTCCCATTTGCTTTAATAGGAACTGTGGGTGCTCAGCACCTCAGAAAACGAGGCCCACAATTTTTAAAATTTAATTCCCCAGATAATGACAAATTATTCTGAAAAGGTATTTTATTAAATATCAAAGCAATACATATTTGGTAAAGTAGTTTATTTTAATTCATGGTCATTTTTTCCCCTAGACTTAAGCCCCAATTCTGCAAAAAACTCATGCATGTGCTTAACTTTACACTGGGCAGGTGCGACTCCTCCCAATGGGTGAAGCCGAGCACATGCCTAAGTCTGTGTGGGATATGGACCTTATTTGTCACAGCACCAAACATTTTGACATAAATCAGTGCTCTAACCTTTAGTTACTATAATCAGCATGTAACAAAAATAGGGATTTATACCATAGGTTCCTAGTCATAAGCAGCTCAAGATCTACAGTGGGTTCATGATTTAACCAACAAAATTTTATTACTTAATGAACTGTTAATTCTATTTATTTGTATATAGTTCTCTATAGACAAATGTTATTACTGAAAGCTACTTCCATAAACACAGAAGAGAAATGCAATGAGGATCATACCTGCCGCAAATTGGACAGTTCTGTGTTGGTCCGGACTTGTTTAGATTTGGCAGATTGAAGAAGTTGATCTTGTCTATTTGCTTTCTCAACTGTTTAAAAAAAAAAAAGTGGATTAAAACCAATTATTTTTCCCATAGAAATCAAAGTGAAAAACTAAATACAGCCAATACACACAAGAGAGGATGTCATAAAAAGTAATATTAACCTAAAAGTCTCAAGATCAACACAATGCTTTTTCATGAACAAGACAACTCATGCTATAACTCATGGGCCAACTAAATAAAACATTCAGGCATGTTTTTTCACCTGAACAGGCACCCAACTTTGCTAAAATTTCTAGCAATGTTTTTAAAATACATTACCATCACTCACTGTCTTATCTTTGTTTTTATATTTTAAGATTTCTTTATGAAAAACAAACTCAGTAATAAATTCCAACTTTGTGTCTGTGTGGGGGAAACAGCCGCCAGTATGATTTTAAACACACGAGGAGTCAATGCTTGGCGCAGATTAGATGGGGGAGGTCAGAGGCTTAAAGCTCCCCACAGCAGGGGACAGAATCTGTTATTTAGTCTTTTCAACCTCCATTGTACATTTTGAAGTATGGAAGAGCAGCAATTTGCCATTCTCTTAGTACTATTTTGCTGCAGTACAGTAACAGCACTATCTATACTCAAAAGCGAAGTGCACATGCCAAGACATACAATCACACTTTTGTTATTCAGGTCTTCATGTTAAGGCATTTTAAACCAAGAGAGTTCGTTAAAGGAGACTAGCAGCCAAATGAACACTCTCCCTCCTTTCCAATATTTGCTTGCTGCTAATCGGAGAAGCTGAAACCACTGAGCACCTCACAAGTCCAGCCCCAGCCATGTTGCAGACTCTTGTCTTTTATTAGCTCTAGGTTTAAAAGAGTCTTTTTTTGTTTTTGTTTCACCATTTTCTATACAGTTGTGAGAGAAGGGGAAAAAATGTCACTCGTGTTTACCTATGTTACTAACACATTAGATCAGAGGGTCTCAAACATTTTAATACAGAGACTGTCTCCCTGAAGCACCTATCCCCCCCCATTCACAATCCAAATAACCACCTTCCCTCCCATTCATGCTCACATAGGATCTCTGTGGCAACTACATAAATAGCTTTAGTAGAAAAGCAATACTACGAATATACTTTTAGCTTCTTTTAATAGAATTTAACAGGTGACAATAAAGGGAAGGCTATGATGAGATAGCTCTCTAGACCACCAGCAAGTGTTGCACAGACCACAATCTGAAAACTTCTGATCCATCAAGAGTTGGGCACTAAAGCCCTTCACTCACCATTAAGTACGAGCTCATTCTTCAAGTAGTTGTTTTCTTGTTTGAGGCGTATGATTTCTTCACGCTGCTCATTATTTTCTTTCGTCTTTTCACTGAGGTCATCTTTAAAATAAAGTGTGTTCTTGAGTGAAAAAGCATACACTCAGATTTACAGTGGAGTAGGTGTCAGTTATATTACTTACCTTTTAATTTATTCATTTCAAATGTTAGTTGTTTCAGTCTCAGTTTGAAATCCTGCTTTTCTTTATTGATACTGGATTCCCCCATCTTAGCTGCACGCAATGCACTTTCCAACTTTTTAAATTTAGATGTAAATGCAGTAATGTGATTGGTTGCTTCAAGTATATCTTTGTCCTACAAAAATATGAAAATAAAGCATACTTCAATAATGTTTCTATCATCATCATCTCCTCTTCTAGGTCTTCTCATTTTGTCTGGTAGATGCAGATGCAATAGTGAAAGCTTCCCACTCTATTAACAGTCTCATGCTGATTTGGAGAAGACTTGCTCTGAATTCTGAACAATCTGTAAACTCCATTTCTGAAGTCCACTATACTTTCTGAATACATGGGTTTCTGGTTCATTGAAGATTTTTCCCACTTTCAATCAAGTCAACCATCCAGCAATCGGATCACACCACATTTGATAACAGCATTGGAGTTTTGTTCAGATACTTTGGGCATGGAGTGAGAAGATGACAGATGTTACCTTTAGCTTTAGCATCGTAATGAGTTCCTGTTCTCTAGCTTGTAACTGGCCTATTTTAGCCGACAGCTCCAACACTGAACAGTTGAGACTTTGATTTTTCTCCTAATAAATAGAAGGAAAAGAGTATCAACTAGTGACTAGTTACACTGTTACTAAATAATCTTTCAGTAATTCAACATCAAGGGGCACAACTCTCATTTAAAGTTAAGAGGGAAGCAACATAGTTTAGAGAGTAGAAACTGGGGCTTGGGAGCCAGTTGTTCCTAAATTCTAATCCTGGTTGTTCTCCAATTTACATTCTTACATTTGACAAGTCAGATCTCCTCTCTATCCATTAGACTATCCATCTGTAAAATGAGGAGGGGTGGTGAAAGAATTTATAAATAGCTTTGAAGATGTAAATCACTATTTAAATAGCAACAAGTTTTGGAGGGAAAAAAATAGGACTCTTAAAAATGAATCTTAATACCATTAACAGTTCACTTACCTTTAAAAAAGAATTAAGAAGCAAAAAAACAAACAGCAAGGACCAGAAATTCCTAGATATTGAAACACCAAGTTTGGGAAACACTATTCTAAGGAGTTCTAGATCCAGGAAGGGAACAAAGAAGGATGCAGAGCTGCCTTCTTCAGCTAATATAGATCATAGAGCTAAATTTATGGATTTCTCATTCTGTATTATAGCCTACTGGTTAGAACAGGGGATTAGGAGTTAGGACTCCTGGGTACTATTCCCAGCTCTTTCCTACGATCACAGCCAAGTCTCTTACCCAATCTGTGCCTCTGTTTATCCATTTGTAAAACAGTTATGCTACCACTTATCAGCCTCACAGAGCTTTTGTGACACTTCACATTTATATAGATCATCAGGTACGAGAGGATATAGAAAATGCAAAGTATTACTGAACTATATTGTGATAGTATTTTTAAATTGTGTTTTAGATAGATATAGGTATCATTGCCAAATGAACAAAGACAAAGGAAAAAAAAATCTACAGTTTTAATTACTTACATATCTTTAAACTGATGACAAGATTTTATAATCCACGATAGTGACTTAAAATTTATAGCGATGGCTTTCTAAAAAACTGTTCATAATAAAATTGCAAGTACTGTAGTTGGTCAATTTAATGGCTGCAGTTTTGGCATCCCCACACTGGTAAGTGGCGCTCCTCAGAAACCACTCAAATAGAGACAGCAATCACAAAACCTTGAGTGTAATACCTTAACCTAGTGTTATTTGACCCAAAGACAAGAACAATATAGAAGCCTAAATCTGCAGTCATATGCAGAAAATACCCGCAGACTTCAGTGGGAGTTGCATGCACACAAGGAATGCAAAGTCAAGCCATTAATCAAGACCTACCTCCAGGGCCTGACAATGAAGAGTTGCATCTGTTGCTTTTTGAGACAGCTCCTGAAGCTTCTGTTGAGTATTTTCAAGTGTTGTCCTACGATCATTCTGCTGAGATTCTAAGACCTTTAATCTTTGTGTTAGTGTTCTTATCATCTCATTTCTTTTGTGTAGTTCATCTGAGGAAAGAAATCAGGTATCTATTGTGAGCAAACAGTATAAATTATATTTCACACACCATCTTTTAAAAAGTAGAAGTACTTTAACACAGCATTTTAAAGTAAAAGAACAACAAACATTTAATTTCTAGAAATGGATGCACAGTTGCATAAACCTGAAGTAGACTTATCTATTTTTACCTGACATATTTCTTCCCTACTTAATTGTACATTTTGGAGTTTGCAGAGAGAATCAATCAATATAAATATGTATTTTAAATAAATACTACACAGGTTATATTAATGAAGCAAATTTACAGTCCCTTAAAACAAAAATTATAACTGTTTTCACGTAATAGTTTCTTTCAGAAGTGCAAAGGATCTTGCTGGTTTTAGAATTGCTACAACAAATCATCTTTTAATAAGCTCTAAAGAGATCCTTCCCTCCATGACATTCTAGTATTTCCATGGTAATCTAAGACACACAGAATATTAATTCTGTTGTGAGATACCATTTGAACACGGATGAGGACACAGATCGCACAGTCTCATTCTGATTGGCTGGCAGTGCCTTCCTGATGATGTCACAGATGTGCACTAAATTCCTGATAGTACAGAGCTAAAAATCTCATTGCTAAAATACCCCCAAATCCCTACACCCTTAATGTTCAGAGAATATAGAGGGGAAGTTAGTGAGAGAAGAGGTCAAAAATAAAGTACCCTGTGGGGCTGATAGAGGAAGACACACCATTGAGGATAAGGGGACAGCAAAGGGCTGAACACAAAAAGTGACAGTCACAATTTAAGCTGCACCCCAACTAGGTTGACCTTTAATTTTCAAGTCACAACCTGCTACTGAAACTCCACAATACTCAATAGACCAAATTATTTTTATAATCAAGTTAAAAGTGTCTGTTAGATAAGGATATCCTAGAACAGGGGTCGGCAACCTTTCAGAAGTGGTGTGCCGAGTCTTCATTTATTCACTCTAATTTAAGGTTTTGCGTGCCAGTAATACATTTTAACGTTTTTAGAAGGTCTCTTTCTATGAATCTATAATATATAACTAAACTATTGTTGTATGTAAAGTAAGTAAGGTTTATAAAATGTTTAAGAAGCTTAATTTAAATTAAAATGCAGAGCCCCCCAGACCAGGATCCGGGCAGTGTGAGTGCCACTGAAAATCAGCTTGCGTGCCGCCTTTGGCATGCATGTCATAGGTTGCCTACCCCTGTCCTAGGAAGAGCAGCTAGATTTCTGTGGGATAGAAAGGAAGATGGTAAAATCCAAATAATCCAGGGAATGTTTAAAAAACAAGAGAGAGATTGATTCAGAAAAAAAAAAAAACATTTCCAAATAGCCAAGTTAAGGACACTCTTGGTTTAATAAGCAACAGAGGGTCCTGTGGCACCTTTAAGACTAACAGAGGTATGGGGAGCATAAGCTTTCGTGGGTAAGAACCTCACTTCTTCAGATGCAACATGTAAAGCTTATGCTCCCAATACTTCTGTTAAGTCTTAAAGGTGCCACAGGACCCTCTGTTGCTTTTTACAGATTCAGACTAACACGGCTACCCCTCTGATTCTTGCTTTAATGTAGCAATAAACTATAGTACACTCCTAAGATATGATTTACAACATTATGTTTTTTCCTACATATTTTATGATTCAATTTTTTTAAATGATACTTCTCACTAGTAAGGATTCATGGAATCAGCATGTGGATTGAGAAGGAAAAGATTATCAAATCATCAGGTACATCTCCTGCCAATCAATAATCAGACCATTTTAGTACCACTGAGGAAGTTGTCTCTGGAAGGATGCTGACAACTATATTTAAGATGGAAAAAAATAAAATAAAAAACATCCTTTACATGCTGTAACATTATACACACAGAGGGGGATCTGCAAGGGCACAAGCATCTACCCACATGGATCTGCTGACAGGACCAGGGCCTTACATTGTACAGTACTTACTTTCTAGCCTGCTACATCGTTCTGCCAGAGTCAGTATTTTTTGTCGATCATCTTCCCATGCTAGCAGCTGTCTCTGATGTACTGCAACCATGTCATTGAGCTCCTTATCACGATCTTTCAGTTCTGCTATTAACAGCTGGAGTTCTTTCCTCTGTTTCTGAATGGTGCTGTTCTCAAGGTCTGTGCTAGGATTCTACAGAAAAAACTAACCCATCATATACAAGCAACAAGAAATTAATCACAAAAAATAATTAAAATGTTATCTTTATATAATGCTGTGAGGTGGCTACTTGTATTTTTAAAATAAAAAAACCATTTAAAATCACCAAAAATAAAATCAAAGAGAGCACTAGAACATTCCTAAATTTCAACATAAAATCAGAAAGTTGCATTTTTATAGCTCAATTAAAGCCTAAAGTTAGAGCTAAATAGTAATTTACTTTTAATGACCAAACAAATTCTAACGTTAAAAGAACAAAGAATTGATAATACGGCAATAATCACCCAAACTAATTAGTTAGCGTCTTTAAATTTTAATCTAAAATTAAACATCTTTTCACATCTGAAATCAGATCATCCGAGATCTTTTACACTTTGATAAATACACAAATAGTTGTCAAGAGTTCATAAACGTTAGTATAACCAAATAAAAGAAATAAGGTTTGAATACTTCCCCAAAATGCTCAACTATCTGATGAAGAATAAAGTAACTCAAAACAACTGTTCAGCCTCTGATGCTATCTCAGGCCTCAATCCTGCAGGCATCTACTTACTTACATACACTATTTTACTATTGGTAGTAAAATTAAAAATATCTCCTTGAAGAAATTATACAAGAATTTTAAGTGTCTGTAAGATCAGAGCCTAAATTTACAGAACAATCCCCACAGATATTCATCTTTCTGTACTGTCACAGGTTTCCAGGATTCTACTAGTGTTAAATAAGCGCAGGTTACAATGTTTCTTTTTACTAAGCATGCTTTATCCTGCCTGTTCTTCATCTTACTTTGATGTATGGCTTGAAGAAAAACTAATACCTAGCAGTTTTGATTGAAGCTCTCTGCACTTCAGTGAGTGCTTTCCTGTTAAACAAACTGTATATGCTACATATTTAAAGCACTGTTTGTTTGTTTTTTACCTGGGGTGAAGCGGAGAGTGGTAATGATGAATTCATAGGTATTCTGTGATCAGCTGTCCTACAGCTTTAAGATTCAGTTTAGAAGCTCCAGATAATTGAAGTGTTACATGCCTAGACCTATTTGTACACGGAGGTCACTAAAAGAGTTTAAAAAAAAGACATCAATGATTTCTGGTACTAGTATACTCTCAAGTCATCCAGTCAAACTGAGGAATCATAAGAGACTTCTGTTTACGGGCTGCCGATAAATTCTTTCTTGTAGCACAAGGACTCTCAACTCTCTCCACACCCAGGGGCAACTTCCTGTCCCTGGCACGACTTCCCTGCCTGTAGCTTGCCAAGCCTCCATTCTCCTAGCCCCCCACCCCAGGCGCTAAGGGCCGAGCGGAGCAGCCCCTCACTCCCTCCCCAGAGCTGGGGGCGCCAGCCAGGCAGTCTGAGGGGAAACGCTCTCCCCGGGCGGGGCTCAGGCCAAGCTCGCGCTGCCGACTCCCACAGGCCGATGGGAACCGCCTGGCCGTCCCACCGTTAGCGCGGGGCCGCAGCGCTTCAGTCCCAGGTCGCCCTCAGGGCTGCTCACCGGGGCGCGGGGAAGCCCGGGACCGGGCGCCCCACGCCGAGCTCCACAGGACCCTGCGGCTGGGGTCGGCTCCGGAACCCGTAGCCCGTTATCCGAGGGTTGGGGAACCGCTGGGAACTCAGCTCAGCCCGAGAGGCGCCCCCGCTCGGAGGCTGCTGGGCAGGGTCGCCACCTTGCTGGGGAAATATCGGGGACACCTGACGAGATTTATACCACGTCAGTGTCCGCGCTGGGCGGCACCAGCAGTAGCTGCCTCCATCCGGAGCGTCCAGCTTAGTGCAGCCCCAGCCGGTAGGAAACTCGAATCCCGCGTTCCCGGGTGCTACTGACACAGTGCGGTCGTGCCGCGTTTCGCCGCTCCTGGCTGCACTCCGTCAGCTGAAGCGCAGAGAGCCCCAGACCTCCACCGACACGTGGTCTCCCATCCAGCGGCTGAACCCGTTCAGCTTAACCGACACCTCCATCGCAGGTCTCCCGCCTCAGCCGGCCCACAGACCCCACCTCTGGCCTCTATTAGCCCCACCTAGCGGGGTGCGTCATACGGCTCTCGCGCTGGACCCGTTCCCCGGAAAAGTTCGAACGCCGCGCGAGCGGCTAAAGAGGTTGGTCGCGAGCAAGCGCCACCTCCTCAGCGCGCGCTCGGGGGGCGGGGCTGTTGGAACGCCTGCTCCACGGCTTGGGGCCGTGTCTGGCGAAGGAGCACTGAGGGGGGCGGGGCCATGGTCCGGCCGCCCCCTGCCGGCCACTTTTCCAGTCCCTATAGGCGTTAATTGCCCGGCCGGCGACCGCCCTTCTCTCGGCAGCAGCCGGAAAACCGGGGGTGAGATGAGAGGCGCGTGAGCTGGGTGCAGCCCTCCGCCTTTCGGGGACACGCAGACAGCCCTGCTCCGCCCTAAGGTGTCCACACCTGAGGGGAGGAGTCTTGGCCTGCGCTGCAGAGCTAGGTGCATTCTCCCTTGGAGATGGCCGGGGGGGGGGGACTAGGGCGCCGTGCTGTAAAATCCTCGCGATTAGCCCCCGTCGGGGCGGAGAGGACCGCAATAGCTACAGCAAGGTTAAAGCTACCTGGGCCGTGCCTCTCCCAGGCTTTTACAGAAAAAAACAGTCAATGCAAAGCGAAAGCAATGCACCGTGTATGGACCGGTCCCAACTGCCTAGGTGCTGAGGGCTGCTGCTTGCACTGGAAATTGGGAAGGCTGAGGCACTCCTTTGAATCTTTTACCCAGGAGAACTAGAAGTTACTCCATTTCTGCCCTTTGTGCAGTGGGACAGAGAGCTGAAATATCTGGTTTTTGCATAGCTTACAAAGGAATTGTATTTAATTTTTAGAAGTATAAGTGGCTACTTATTTCTAACTGCACTTAATTTTATCTAATTTTATAATTACAAGAAACTAGTGTCTTAAGATAAATGTATATGCATCCGAAGAAGTGGGCTGTAGTCCACGAAAGCTTATGCTCTAATAAATTTGTTAGTCTCTAAGGTGCCACAAGTCCTCCTGTTCTTCTTTTTGAAGATAAATGTATTGTACTTTAATACACTTTAGGGATTTAGCACTACAGTATTGAGCTTTTCTAACATTATCCAGTAGTGGAATTGGTAGAATTATAGTATTATATAAAATATATATACTTGAAACTGAATTCGTAAGACATATCTAACAGAACCCGGCACCTATATGAAATTGCCACAAGAAGGGGTGTTTTTATGAAGGTGACTAATATCCTGAACACAGTAAAACAGTTACATCAGGGCAGTTGTTGCTTGTCAGATACAGGGCATTATATGAATTAAAACTATCAGTTTATACCCTGTGATGACTCAAGTGAGGTGTATTTAAAACCACTTTATCAGAGAAGCTTCAGCTGCTACTTTATATATATATTGAAAGTCTATCACAGTAGCACCCCTTTGTTAAGAGTTTGAACATAACCATTGCAAAGAGAAATTCCATAACACTCAAGTACCAACATTAATTCTGGCCCATCAATTCAGACTACCTGTGCTAAAACATTTAGCAGGAAAAGTCTTTGGTATGAAGTTACTTAGTTATTTGTCACAAAGGTGTGGCTACAGTCAGATGAAGCAAAATCTTTCAACATCAATATAATGCCTAGATTGAAGAAATTTGGCCCCTAGGCCTAGAGGTGGTTTGGTTTAACCATAATTTTAATTTCTCTCAAGCCAGCTACATGCTAATACTACTAAGAAATCAGTTTAAGTCTTTCTAAAGCTAATTCAGCTTTTATTACATGATTGACACAGAACTAGTTACAGTTTCATAGTATAAAGCTGAAAGAAGAGCTAGTGTGTGTTGCTCAGACTGGTTGATACATTTATTCACAATACTTTTTCCTTAAATTCAGTTTCTTAATTAGCACTGTATTTAAATTTAGCAAACATTTATCTTTAAGACTATAGTCCTGGTTTGAACTCTTATCAGTTTTATACTAGCAGCAAACCAGAAGTCAGATTTGCAGATACTGTTTATTCCAGAATCGTATGTATTAAGTGAACTAACCATACGAGCCCATATAGCATTTGGCGGTAGGAGTCATGCAAATCTTATCTTACAGTATTTGTTGCAAACAGCGTGTCCTTCAGTGTCTTACATTCCTTCAGTGTTCCTTGCTCTCTCAACCCTTTTAATATGAAACTATTAACAGATCGTTGGAACTTAAGGCCCATTTCTGATCTCACTTTTCATTTACACCAATTTAAATAACTCCACTGAAGTTAGAGGAGTTACACCAGTGTAAAGGCATCAAACTTTGATTTCCAATTGGATCATTTGAAAGTAGTGGAACGGTCAAGTGAGAACACATTTTTACTAGGGCTGTTGATTAATTGCCATTAACTCACGATTAACTAAAAAAATTAGTCCTGATTAATCGCATTGTTAAACAGAATACCAATTGAAATGTATTAAATATTTGTGGATGTTTTTCCACATTTTCAAATATATTGATTTCATTTACAACACAGAATACAAAGTGTACACTGCTCATTTAATATTATTTTTTATTATAATTTTTACAGTGCAAATGTTTGTAAACAAAAAAACAGTATTTTTCAATTCACCTCATACAAGTACTGTAGTGCAATCTCTATCGCGAAAGTGCAACTTACAAATGTAGATTTTTTTGTTACATAACTGCACACAAAACCAAAACAATGCAAAACTTTAGAGCCTACAAGTCCACTCAGTTCTACTTCTCATTCAGCCAATTGCTAAGAAACAGATTTGTTTACATTTACAGGAGATAATGCTGTCCACTTCTTATTTACAGTGTCACCAGAAAGTGAGAACAGGCATTCGCATGGGATTTTTGTAGCCAGCATTGCAAGGTATTTACCTCCCAGATATGCTAAACATTTGTATGCCCCTTCATGCTTCGGCCAATGTTCCAGAGGACATGCTTCTATGCTGATGACACTTGTTAAAAAAATAATGCGTTAATAAATTTTGTGACTGAACTCCTTGGGGGAGAATTGTATGTCCCCTGCTCTGTTTTACCTGCATTCTGCCACATAATTCATGTTATAGCAGTCTCAGATGACGACCCAGCACATGTTGTTTGATTTACGAACACTGTCACTGCAGATTTGACAAAATGCAAAGAAGGTACCAATGTGAGATTTCTAAAGATAGCTATAGCACTCAACCCAAGGTTTAAGAATCTGAAGTGCCTTCCAAAATCTGAGAGGGACGAGGTGTGGAGCATGCTTTCAGAAGTCTTAAAAGAGCAACACTCCAATGTGGAAACTACAGAACCCAAACCACCAAAAGAGAAAATCAACCTTCTACTGATGGCATCTGACTCAGATGATAAAAATGAACACACGTCGGTCTGCTCTGCTTTGGATTGTTATCAAGCAGAACCCGTCATCAGGATGGATGCATGTCCTCTAGAATGGTGGTTGAAGCATAAAGGGACGTGAATCTTTAGCACATCTTGCGACGCCGGTTACAACAGTGCCATGAGAACACCTGTTCTCACTTCCAGGTGACATTGTGAACAAAAAGCGGGCAGCATTATCTCCTGCAAATGTAAACAAACTTGTTTGTCTTAGCGATTGGCTGAACAAGAAGTAGGACTGAGTGGACTTATAAGCTCTAAAGTTTTACATTTTATTTTTGAATGCAGGTTTTTTTTGTACATAGTTCTACATTTGTAAGTTCAACTTTCATGATAAAGAGATTGTACTACAGAACTTGTATTACGTAAACTGAAAAATACTATTTATTTTGTTTTACAGTGAAAATATTTGTAATCAAAAATAAAGTGAGCACTGTACACTTTGTATTGTGTTGTAATTGAAATCAATATATTTGAAAATGTAGAAAACATTCAAACATATTTAAACACATGGTATTCTATTATTGTTTAACAGTGCAATTAATTGAATCACTTGACAGCCCTAATTTTTACTGAATCAGGTCTTAAAACTCTTTAAATTCTGTTACAAAAATAAAAATAGCTGTAAAGAAATAACCTCAGTCAGTGAGGAACAATAACTTTATTTAATTAAATCCCTACCTTCATGCATGAGCATGATAGAACCCCCAGCTGAACTTTGGCAAAAGTCACAACAAAAACAAACCAAGCAGCCTATATAGAATGGTGAAAATGCCATGGATAAGGACACCCTACAGTTTTACTGCAGAGTAAATGCATTTAGAAGCCTCGCTTTGGCTCTGTCAACTATAACCATGTAATTAAATAAAGGCAGTCTTTCAAAATCACTTCTTCACTTCTCCGAGATCTTCAATGCTGTCATCATCCACCTACAATAAACAGATATTACTTTAAGTGGGGGGGAAATGTGTGCATTCCTCACTATGCCCTGCTGTGCTAGGTTCTTTACAGAAACAGTTACTCTCTGAAGAGCTTCCCATTCAAGGTTCTCACCCTGTGATGAATTTTACATGAATGGATCTCTGGGTCCATGTAGAGCCCCACTGAAATCAACAAGGCCAGTCACAGAATCCATTGCATAATGGGCACCAACAAATGTACAAGGGCAGGAGAGAGAGACAGATACAAGCCAATAAAAATGTCTTTTTATAATTACATCAATAAAACCCAAACCACTTCTGAACCATCTGAATCTCAGTCCAACTACTTAAACATTAGCTAATTTCTCATAGGTAGCAACAGACATATGGTTGAGAAGGAACTTGATCAGTTGGGGAGACATTCCACACACAAGGAACAGTGTGGAAGAAATCATGGAGATGTTTATATCTATCCAGCTATTTGTGGCCTTCATCACTATAGTATCCAAGCACCTAGCAGCAGATAATTAAGTAGTTTTTGAAAGATAAGGGGATATTTGGGTGTCATATTCTTATGAAGGATTAGGTACTGTTTAGGAGTGGACATATCAAGGTAAACCACTGGCCCTCTTAGTTTGTATCTTACATTTCTACCTGTGGCCAGGGTGGAAATGAATTTTTTTTTCAGAATCATATCACAAGAGCATGGGCTACAGCCTCATGACTTAACTAGTAATTTTATGACCATGATGTGCTAAAAATAAGTCACTTTTACATTTACCTCAGGCCACTTCTCCTGGATTACATCAATAATGTCATCTGTAAAGTCCCCCTGAATTATGATTTCATCTTCTCCTGTTACTGAGGCACCGCAAGAGAATTTCTGAGCAAAAAACCTTTGTGCTTCCTTCAGATCAATTTCTGTTTACAAAGAAGAAATGTATAGAATAAAGACAGTCAATATCATAATGTCTTCTCTAGCTTAAACACCCAATATTTAAACCTGGCTTTAATTAGGAAAATATCAGTAGCAACTAGTTTCATCATAGTTAAGGTTGTGCCAAGGTTTCTAGTTAAACCAGATCCGTAAGTGTGCAACATATTTCAGGAACATTTATTCTCTGAATTTGGCATAACTCTTCAGAGTTTCTCTAATATTTCTTCTCTAAGTGGTCTCTACAAGTTCCCACTCTTGGGGTGAACCAATGGTGCAGCGCTGCATGGTTGGGGCATCCCAAAAGTGGGAATGTGCAGAGCCCATCTCAAATAATTCTGGTTAGAGGTGAGTAAATGACTTCTGCAGCAGAAACAAAATTAAAAATGCTCCCTTTTTGAAGGTTGATACTGTTTTCCTGAAATTTGGGTTTCCTCTAACACACATATGCAATTCAAATAAATCACACACAAAAGTTTAACTGTGACCTCAGGGAAATTAAGCTATGTTTCACGGACATACATTATGTATTATGAAAGAGTATTATGTTAACAGGGCCGGCTCTGGCTTTCTGGCCGCCCCAAGCAAAAAAAAAAAAACCTGCAGCGCGGCCGGAGCCAGGGTGAAGGGGGACTCTGTGCCCTGCAGATGTGCCCCGGCTAGCGGGGGGAGTGGGAGGGAGCGGGGGAGAGAGAAGGGGGGCGGCTAGGGCTTCAGAAGGGCACTGCCATGCGGCCCCTCCCGCCGTGCCCCCTGCCAGGAGGGCTCCACGCCGCTCCGGTCGGCTGGGAGGGAAGGACGCGGGCTGCCCTGCCGGGCTTGCTGCAAGGCGCTCCTGTCCTCCACGCCGCTGCCTGTCCTCCACGCCGCTGCCCCCTACAGGGCGGCCGGAGCGGAACAACAACAACAACAAAAAGCGGCCGTGCCGCTCTAGGATCGGGTGGAATGCTGCCTCCTACAAGCTGCCGCCCCAAGCACCAGCTTGCTCGGCTGGTGCCTGGAGCCGGCCCTGTATGTTAAAGCCAAGGTTAAAGCTTGCCTTTTTAGAGGAATGTGGGAAATAAAAGGAAGTTCAGTGTGGGTGTTAAGATGTTTGGATAGTAAATGAGTGAACTGAGGCTGCTCTGGTTGATACTCTAGCTTTAACTGTCTATTTCATTGATTACGGATTGTATTATTAGGAGATTCACTTGAGCATTTTTAATCCCAAGAATTTGTGTGGAAATCCATTCAAATAATTTGTTTTCAGAAGCTTATTCAAATATGTATTGACAGAGAGCAAATTGCTTTTATGTAAATACACTGTTACTTTAAAAAAGTCAAAATACACAATAGAGCAAAGACTGTTTGACTTAAATGCATACTGATATTGAGATTGACATAGACAGGTATAACTTCCCTTGCTGTGTCTTTGCTTACTTTTAAAACAAAATCAGGGGAAATAAGGACCTTAGAAGATAGCATTTCAAGCAGAAAGGGAACAAAAAGGTAAAATATAAAATAATTAAAAGGGAAAATATTTGAATGAGAGCTGTTGACAATATCTTTTATTCTACTAAGAGTTTGAAACTGGACCTTGGTTGTAACCAGAGAAAGGATATAAGATTTGGTAGTTCTTTACATCAATTAAAATCAATCATAAATGAACATGACACTTGATACATTTACAGTCTGTTAGATAAGACAGGTAGTGGCCATGTCAGGGCACCGAGGGAATTATTGATAAAGAAAAAAAAAGAACTGCTTGAAGTTGATTTTTAAGGAGAGAGGTCTGGAGAAGCAGAGACAGGAGCACAGAGAAATAGTAGGACAGAAGAATTAAATCAAGAGCAGGAAGAGAAAGTGACTCAAAAGAAGTTTGTTGCTGAATTTTTTCCTGCTAATATGAATCAACAAAAATGTTGAGTTAATATAACTTAATGGTCAAAAGCAAATGCAGTTAGAATAATGAAGTGTTCACTTTGCAAACTCACCAAAAGTTGCAAGGCCACACACTCTTGTGACATATTTCTTCTTTGCTCTAGGAATTTTAGCTATCGTAACTTTCTGTGGTACAGTCTTCTTTTTCTGTTTTATCTGACCCCTTCCACCTTTGAGACAGGACAAAAATCAAATCAGTATCTAAGTAACCATTTCATATACTGCGCTTGCACTTCAGAAAATAAGGACCTGAAATGCCAATTTTTTTCACGTAGTAATTTTGAAAAAGTTGTCGTCACCCTTACCTCCATTTGTAAACCTATATACATTCCCATACAACAATTATAATAAACATTACATATGTTGCATAATATGTTATATTATCAATATAGGTACAACACTGCAGTGTTGTTGTAGCTATATTGATAATATAACATCTCACAGTTGTCTTAATCATGCAATAAAGGTACAGTATTACAAGAAACATCAATACACGGTCAGCTAAGGCTGTAACATTAATTTTTATTTCTTATTCCTACTTACGACAGTATTGACCAAAAGGACATTAAGTCTGAGAAGGGTTAAAACATTACAGATGCAGGAAATGGACTTCAGTACTCAGTGTTAAAATAGTTTTGTGTACTATATACACACACACACCTAGCCAATTAGAGAGTTAATTTCTGTATAAAAATGCAGCATTTACAGCAAACCTTTGGTACAGTTATAAGCAGTTATATATCATAATACTCACACTGGATTTAGTCAACCCTGCAGTCTAATGCAGGACTACAAATTTTCCTGTTTTTTCAGCTTTACTGAAGCCCTTTTATCTCACGCAGACAGCTCATGGAGCTTTTAGACCAAGTTATTTGAGCCAGAGACTGTCAGCCACGTACATCTTTGTACAGCACCAACACAAGGGAGCCCCAGTGTTGACTGGGCCCTTTGGATGACATAGCAATGACCCGAAAATACAACTTGCATCTTTTATATTCATTTGGTATTGTTACTACCTTGACTCTTTTGCCAGGCTGCCTAACATTCTCAGCACTGTGCAACATATATCTGCACCGATTTGCAGGAATACTGTATTCATGTACAGGATTTGTTTTGTGCACCGTTACCTCAACAGTTAATAAATTAGTTTTATAAAATGACCCAAAAAGTTGAGAAATTGTGCTAGAGTGCATTTCAGCTGGTTGAAAAAGGATCCCAAAGTAGACAAAGATTCCACAAACTGCATATGTAAGATAGGTTCTAAGTTTATGGGTTAGATTAATACCACAATCAACTATTTAGACCTTGCCTCTCTTTTGCTTTTTCTTCTCCTCCTCTTCTCCTGCTGTTCCTTGACCTTCTCCAAATCCAGTTTCCTGTTTTGGTGAATTTTCTTATTATATATATAAAAAAAAAAAGTTTAATAAGTAGGACTCCCACATCTGACATATTGCATCTGCAAGGCAATTCTCAGGCTTAGTAAAATGTTACTTTAATGCCTATTCTATCATTGCAGTATACCATCTGCAGACATTTGTTATGTGTATGGCATTATATCACCACATTTGCACAAATAAGACATCAAACATTAAGAAACCTTAGCCTCAGGCTACATCATTCACCATTCCAAAGAAACCTCTCCATATAATAGTTTTTAGGAGAGAGAGAGAGATTAGTATCAACATTGTCATTAGTGTTCCAAATACACATTTCCACTCTAAACATTTATTTTCACCAGTAATACTTCCTGTTTAGAATCCCAATAGATAGGGTTTATTACTTTTCCACCTATGGGTAGTTTAACTTTGAACTAACTCACCAGTCCAGTTAATAGCAATTCTAGATGTAATCTTAAAATGAACAGATGACTGGGTGCAATAGAAAATTTCTGTCTAGCCCTGGGAGGAAGCTGTATATGTCATGTTACACATTTGACAGAATATAGCATATTCTCACATGTTGTCCAGCTATTATTTTACAGCACCCAAAAGTATACAAGGCCTTCACAGAAGCTATAAGATGACATAATATCTCCCTTAGGCAGCTTAATCTAAATTTTAGACTTGACATAACCAGAGAAGGGAGATGAATAGTGGGGAGGTAAAGATTATTACAGTACAATTACATAGATCAGAGAATGGACAGAAGTAGAATGTTCAATTTCAGCAGTGTACCGTAATATATACTTCTCACAGGACGTAGGGTTTGGTTTGGTTTGGTTTGGTTTACACATGCAACCCTCAGTCTTTAGGTCACAAGCCCTGATCAACTGGAAAAATACAGAAAGATTCTTACCTACAGTAAGTTTTGCAAATTCATTTGGAAAATTCTTCTCTAACCATTGTCTGCATTTAGTCACATCAGGCATGTATTCACAGTACTGGGGGAAAGGCCACATATAAATTGTTATCTGAGAAATTACAAAATATACTACTAATACACAGTGAGAGTCTGATTACTGGGCAAATTAGCACAAGGTAAAATGCAAGCTATTTCTTCATTTTGCTTGGGGACATGCACTTCAGTTGATTTCATTCGTTAGCTGGCAGTAAAATTTTAGGTCTGGATTGTGGAGTGAAATGGAGCTGGTGCATAAGCAGGATTTGTGGAGAAGTTAGGACAGGGTGCAGAGAAAAAAGCAGAAGCAAGTAACATAGGATCAGCCTAATTGATTAGTGACTGTGCTCTGCACCACCTTACAGGAGACACATTCAATTCCTCAGACCAACGGGCTGGGCAAGACAAACTATGAAGGTGGTCCGTTTGCTACTCAGGAAGCTGGAGGAAAGTCGTCTTGTATAGCTCAATGGTGTCTCCTAGATCAACACTGACTGGTTCCAAGGGAGCTCTGCACATTCTCCTTCAGCCAGATAGTGGCTGCAGCATAGAACTTTAAGGGTTGAAGTATAGCAGGCGGAGAAGGGCAGCGAGAATCCCCATAGTCGGTACATGGAGGACTAGGTTGCGGGAGGGGAGAATAAATCCAAATGTGAAATGAACTCACCTCTGTTGGCAATGAACAGACTGGGGAAGGAAAAGAAGGAGATTATTAAGAAATTTAATTCCCCACCCATTAATATTTCATATCAAGAACAATCCTTTTGTCATTTTAATCTTTTGGGTGACTTTATGCCATTACATTGACATCTATTAACCACACTGCTCTGCTAGCAACTCAGCACCCAGCCTGAGTTCTGAAAAGGTACCAAAATGTTGTACCTCTCTGCTAAATTTATCTACTAAATCACATACTAAAAACAAGAGAACATATACCCTTGTCTTATCAGCTCTCTAAAATATTCTATCACTTTCCCCTATCCATTACATTCTAGTGGTTACCTTTCTTTACTACTGAATCATGCTGCCTACCTACAGTCCTAGTACTGGACATGCAGGAATAACAAAATGAAGATGCCACTGTGAATATACAATCTATATTCTATAATTCTGCACCTATTTTACACTAAGACAATGCATTTGTCTCAGTCTGAAGGCTCTAAATTCAAGCTTCAGGAAAGGTAGACTCAATGCATTGTAGAGACCAAATCTGCCCTAGCAAGAGGGATGGACAAAGTGATCCAGTGGGTATTTGCCCCTCGAGTCCATCATAATACACAGTTTTCAAGAACACACACCATGCAGTTTCTTCATATGCACTCTTAACACTCATAAGTAATAACATCGCAGTCTGTATAATACAGAATCAAGAATTGTGAGGCTGGATCTCTTGAAGCTACTGCAGTCAAACAGTTGGTGTCTCAACTACAAATTTTAATAGCCTTTAATATCTGATACTTTACATATAAAATCTTATAGCTACACCTCTACTCCGATATAACGCGACCCGATAGAATACAAATTCGGATATAACGCGGTAAAGCAGCACTCCGGGGTTGCGCGCTCCGGCGGATCAAAGCAAGTTCGATACAACGCAGTTTCACCTATAACGCGGTAAGATTTTTTGGCTCCCGAGGACAGCGTTATATCGGGGTAGAGGTGTATATTATGAGGCTGTAACATAAAATGATAAAAATGACCAAAGTCAAGATTTAGAAATCATTTAGATTTACTTGAAATGGAAACACCTCAACAGGGCTTTTTCCTGTCAAGTCATAAACACATCTATAGTGCTACAGAACTAAATCATTTAAACCCAGGATCCAGAGGATGAAAGGCCAGTGAAATAACCACCAAGCCCTTGCCGCAAAAATGATGTTATTTTATTGAGGTCAACCAGAGTTTCAGTTTTCTCTTACTAGTCATTTGTTCAGACACTATTCATTAGAATCAAGGCTCAGCATGAGAGTAATCTCTATGGCTAGGGAGAAGAAAGAGCAGAGGGTGCCCAGATCTTTCAGGCAAAATACGGAGACACAACTTCTCCTTGAGGCAGATGATCCAGTAATCTCCTGTGGCAAATATCATCTATTTAATTTTGCTGCCCCAGAGAGAAGCCAATATCCAAGAAGAAGGATAGAGCCCCATAATACACCTAGCCAACTAGACGATATATAGATATACATATATATTGGATAACTCAAAATTATTCAGTCCCTTTTTAAATCTGGCCATAATATTTGACTCTGATCTCATGCAACAGTGGATAAAGCAGGCAGACCCAACTGTACAGAGAATTTCCTTCCCTTAGTTCTAGCTTTATTACTAGTATTACAGTAATACCTAGAGGCCCCAATCAGGATCAGAGCTGCTTTGCGACAGGCACTTTACTCTGTACAGAAAGTGTCTCAGTCCACAAGTGTTTACAGTCCAAGTGTGATACCCATTAATTTAAGAGAGCAAAAAGAACAGGAGTACTTGTGGCACCTTAGAGACTAACAAATTTATTAGAGCATAAACTTTCGTGGACTACA